ACGTCGAATACCTGCCGATCCAAAGCCAGCGAAAGACTTAATAAGAAATTCCTGTCACTGAACCCGACAAAAAATGGAGAAGCTAAATTAATCCACAATCTCTCAACGTATCAACTTGCACCAACGGAAAATATCGTTTCTGCCGAAAGGACAAAAATTCAACTGCGTAAAAGCAAGGCCAACCGATTTCATCGCCGCAGTTGAGGCCTGAATTTCAGTGTCCACTGACAGAAGAAAAACGACAACAGCTCAGGACAAAAGTCTGCCAGTAACTCACACGTCCGAGAGACACAAATCACCTACCACCGGCTGAAATCAAAGCACTAAAGGCACTACGCAAAAATCAAGACATCGTCATTTTACCCACGGATAAAGGATACTGGACAAAACGGAGCACAGAGAAAAACTGGGTAGACTGATCAGTGATTCGAAGACGTATCAAACAATATTAGGAAACCCTATAAAAAACTACGTAATAGGTTGACTAAAAAGCACACAGAACTCAAGAAAAACAACAAACTCGGTGAAAAACAATATAAAGATATCAAGGTATTGAAAATCGATTCTTGTAGCTCGGGTGAACTGAATTCCATTTCGCCTGTTCACCGACGTGACATCATCAGTGCTTGTGAAACACTGATGATGTCACCTCGGCTGGTTATAAAATGTTTGCAAACAAATTGCCAAGTTCGGCAAACAGACGAAATGGAACAAAGATATCAAAGCTATGGAGGGTCCCATCCTGCGGATCTACGGACTACCAAAGGTGCACAAAACCGGCGTACCATTACATTTGATCGCTTCTTCGACAACGGCCCCCAACTACCAGATGGCTAAGTATCTCCTCCATTTATTCTGCCTATCTATTCCGGAAGATAACGGCATAAAAACTCGGTCACATGCCTAGATTGAATGAGAGAATTAAAGCTGAAACCGAAAGAAAACATGGTGTCCTTCGATGTCACATCTCTGTTCACAAACATATCGACACAACTAACTCTGGAGAGCATACAGAATCTGATAAGAGATGATCCTCATCTTCCAGAAAGAACACCACTGTCAGCAACTGAGATCATGGAGTCGCTTGAACTCTGTATGGAAACAAACCTACAGTTTGACGGGAGGTTATATCGACAGGTGAAAGGAACCCCAATGGGATTACCAATATCCGGCCTACTAGCTGATGCGGTAATGGAACAATTTGAAGTCAAGGCATCTGAAGAATACTGTCCTCTCCTCTGGATCCAATATAAGGACGACACCTTTGTGATGCTACCGGCAGAAAGAATCTAACAATTCCATGATACCCCAAACAAGGTTATGCCAGGGGTAGCATTTACCCGCGAGGAGGAAAACGACATGAAGCTCCCTTTCTTGGACGTCTTCTTGGACGTCCTCGTCATAAGAAAACCAGACGGAAACACAGAAATCACTGTGTACAGAAAAACCACAACAATTAACCAGGTACTAAACTACGACAACAGTCAACCCAACTGTCACCGTGTGGATACATATTGTAGCACAGAAGAACTCCGGCATCAAGAACGAATGCATCTGTTCCATCAATTCCGCAAAATGGATACCCTATAAGTTTCGTCCAATTATACCTTAAAGGAAAAAAACTGAATAACGAAGAGAAGAAAACGAAACTCTTATTACCATACATACGTGGGGTATCAGAAGCCGTCGGTCGCATACTTCGCCCTCTGGGTGTTACCATTATCCACAAACCTACAACAACACTGCGGTCAATTTTGTTCAATGGTAAGGACTGTGTAGAACCAGACGACCAATCAGGGGTGGTGTATGCAATTCCGTGCCTAGACTGTGACCAACGTAAGATGGGAGAGACAGGCAAACAGCTGTGCACTCGCCTACACGAACACATAATTGCACTACGACGCACTGACCCTAAGTCACACCTCTGGAACCACTGCGCAACGACAGGTCACAAGGTCAGAATTAATGACGCAAAAGTAGTGGCAAGGGCAAAGAGGAAGGGGGAAAGTCTGATCCTTGAAGCGCTGCTTTCGACCAACTCATTCAATCGACGTGTGGAAATGAATAAACGTTATGCATCGATTGTACAACCAATAACGAATGCGGGAATTGTGGACAAACAGGCATGACGCGAACCACAGAGCGAGGCACAATCAGACCCAATTCATTCACACGTATTATCGTTTGACAACGAGTCCTAGTCTGGATCGAAACGTCACAATGAATTCTATCCCTCAGTGCTCCCCTTCTCCTTGTCTCTCTTTCTGTGTATGTATTCATTGTAGAAATGACAAAAAATCCGATTTTAATTATTGAAGTTTATTCCAGTTTGTACAGACTTATCATGCTTTACGAGACTAGAACGATGAAAAACTCCATCAAACAGGGGACTAAAGGAGTCAACATAGCTTAAAGGCTGACAAACGAGAAAAAATACGCGTT